TGTGTATGTGTGTGCTTATGTGTGTGTGATTGTGTGCCTCTGTTTGGGTTGGTGTTTGTGTCAAAGTGTATGTGTGTGTGTGTGTGTGTGTGTGCACTTGTGCCAAGCCACTGACGTAATTTTCTTGAGCTCCAAATGCACTTTTAGCTAGAGATGAAAGCAAAGTGTTTGCGATAGTTGCATAAAAATGATCTAAAGGGATACACACAAGTCTTGATTGTTAATTCTTGAGATACATTGTATTTACATAACAATATACTGGCATCCGATGCGTTACTCCTAAGACACATAGAGTAAAATAATATATTATAATGCTTAAGTATAAAATTATTTAAATTTTAATATAGCTTTTAGATGTTATTTTAGTTTAGTTTAGCTCAAAGTTTCTACATTCTAGCTAGCTTGATATTTATCCAATTATATATACATATATTTATATAGGCTATTTCAAAGTTTCTATATTCTTCGTGATTCATTTACAGATTCATCGTTGAGTCTGCGCTCAGCTCTTCCGCTTCCAATTTCTGACCACAGTCAACGCGAGTTGTCTGCAACTGTGAGCAAATGTTAGTGTAACTGTGTGTGTGTGTGTCTGTGTGTGTATCTGTGTGTGTGCATGCTTTAACAGTTGTTTTCCAATTGAATTTCCAATTTGGGTTGCCCATCGCTACTTCTTTTTTTATCAATTGGACATATAAACATTAAGTTCGCCTTGCACGTTTTGCGCTTCTCGCTTGCCAATTTAATTAACCATTAAAAAAATGCTTTGGCCTGGACTCCCTGGAAAATCGGTAACGTGCAGACATTTTCATAAATTATTTCATTTTCAGCAGCACTCTGGCATTTAAATACCCTGCAGTCATAAAATATGCTTCAGCTGGCGTATAAAAGTTTGAATAAGTATTTAATTGCGATAACAAGGATTCTCTGCCAGCAGTAAAAATATGCAATTAAATATAGATAAATAAGTTACATATGTATGTATTTTCTGCTCATGCCAATGGATCTAAGAGTTTATTAGAGATTAAATGATGAAGTTTGACATTACAGTTATTTTATGTTTTATGTGTAATACACATCAAATCTGTTCAGTAGTTTAACAAGACTTTGATACTTTATTCACTTCAATCAAATAATAGATAACAAAAAAAGCTATTCAAATAAATAAGTTTTGAAGTTCAGATTAGGGTGTGCCGGTTCCAGGATATATTGCCAGTCAATGACTACCAAACTGGCAGCATCCTTCATATTTATTATTCAACTCTTGTTGGGCTGGTTTATTTGTTGTAATTTATGGGGCAATGCTGGAAATTTACGCAGATTTCTCGACGCTCATATTCCGTGGGCTTTAGCTCGTATGAGTGAGTTTGCCTCATCATCATTTGCCCGTCGTTGTTGCCACTTAACACCTTTTGGCAGCATCTACCACGCCCCAGTAAGCAATGTTAATAAATGTTTCGTCCTTCTCCCCGTCCCACTGCGCCACCTCCTCACCCCACGGTGCTATCTGCCGTCATCTCTCATGGCTTGTTGGCCGCCCCGAGACACGCGAGTACGAAGAACCGAGTTGATCTGCAAAAACCCAAAAAGACAACAAAAAACAAAAAGCAAAAAAAAAAATAAATAAAAAGATGTAAGAAGAACCTTGCAACGCCATCAACTTTTCCCAGCGTTCTTTTTGTTTTTGCAGCTCTTCTTGCACAGGGTATAAGCAAAGTTTTTAAAGCCGCTTATAAGAATTTAAGCGTACCGGTAAAATATTTACCCAGCAATATTTCTCTCAGCTTGTTTCTTGCCAACAATATATATTAATATATCATCTAAAAAAAAATGCACAGCTTACAATGCTGATATCAATAATCCTATTTTGTCAGTCGCCTTACGCCCAAGAATTATGGGAACATGTGTAAAGTTGAACTTTGCATCTAAGAGCTTAATAGATATTTACGTATATGGAAAACGGTGCTTTAGCACACATAACAAACTTGAAGTGATTTTGTGGCTCTAATACATTGAACTCTTTTGGCTAATATTATTGGAATGCCAGCTCGTTTTTTTCCAACATTTGTTATACCTATCATAAAATTATAAGCGATTAGCCCAACCAACTAGTGTGGCCTTCGACAAAGAAAAAAACACCACTTGTGAATAAATATTGATAAATGTGATTAAAGTAGCAGCCGTGCTTAAAAATTGACAGAGACCTCTGCTAAATACGAAGCTTTGAGCTGATTAATTGCCAAAGCGGATGTTGTCGCAAGTTGAATTTAAATTTCGAAAGGCCAAACCTTAAGAGATTTTTCAAATGAATTCATTGACATGCGGGTGTAACATTTAACCCACACTATGTTAAGTATACGCACACTCACACACACGCACACACACAAAAGATGGCAAGACGGCTAATTGCTGGCAAACAATTGGCATCTTCAATTACAAATATTTGCAATCGCTCTTCGCCCGGCTCAACACAAGTTATTCAACCTTGTTCGAGTATTTTCAAGTACTCTCTTGTGTATATCTTCATTTTTCCACACCCCAAAACTCGTAAATTAGACACACACACACACAGACACACACAGACACACACACACACAGACAGACAGACTGACACACACATCAGTGTCAAGTGTTTATTTATGCATACAGCAAATTTATAATAAGCTGCTTAAGATTGGATTAAAGGCAGCTGCCGCTGACAAGCCTAATCAGACAATGTGTTACACCTCTTTAACAAAAAAAAAAGAAGAAAATAAAAGACACACACACAGCAACAACTTTACAACACTCAAATTGACGCACCTTTGAAGAAAAAGTGTGTGTGCTCAATTTGTTGTTGCTGGTCTTTGGCACGTTTTAATCTTAATTTGAGTTGCTTTCATGTTTTTATGGCTTTTTTCCTCTTTTTGTTGGGCTTACTTTTAATTATTGAGTTGTGAATCTTTTAATCGCAGTTCAGTTCAAGTGAGTTTTAATTTTTATATCTTTCTCTGAGCTCAGTTCGCTTATGCGATGACTATGCAAATTTGTGCAGCTTGGCTTGCTGCATGTTTCCCACAGTTGGATTTTATGCGCCATTGTTAAAATAGACCTGCAAACAAGAAAGAAAAAAAATGCTCTAGAAATATTTGCTATTTCTTTATGTAAATGCCGCTCTCTATTTCATGCAATTAGATCTTTGAGTGCGGTGAATACATTGGTTATGATTGAATCGCTGAAAATCGCTGAATAATTCATGTGCAGGAGAACCTAAGTCCCACTCACTCAATTCTATTTAACGAAAAGATTTTTAATACTTTACGACAAATAGAAAAAGTATGTTGAAAATAAAATCATTCATTTCTATTCCCAGCTACTTTTCAATTTGCAACCAAAGCAACAGCCACATACATAGTTCAATAGAAATTGAAAATCTCAACAAGTCCTTGCAACAGCACCATCTCTCTCTCTCTCTCTCTCTTTCTTTCTCTGGCTGCCATCGTTTCTCTCTATCGATGTCTCCCAATTTCTGTCTGCTATAATTCAATTTTCTGTGCGAGAAAAGAATAAAAATGCTTTCATTAAAATTCAACTGCATCAGCAAATTGTAACACTGGCCGCACACACTAAGTGTGTGTATGTGAATGTGTGTGTGTGTGTGTGTGTGTGTGTGTGTGTGTGTGTGTGTGTAGGTACCACAAAACCAGCAGCAAATCAATTGGAAATGAACTTCTCCATTCAACAGCTATTTCATGCCAAATTGATTGTGAGAATTTAATTAATTTTTTACCATATTATTGAAAACGACCGCATTGCACAATTTTAGTATAAATTGAATTCAATATTATCATTCAATGAATGCCATTTCATATTTTTAAATTGTATATGCAATTTATTTCTGATTTTCGAAGTGGATTTGCATTTATGGTGTGCAGCGAGCATATTTAGTGGCACACATAACTCTACAGCAACTTATGCCTACGATTTCAGATAACAGCAAAATGCATTTGGCAGCTGTAATAAATGAAATAATTATTTTGATAAAATATAGTCTTACTTAACATTTTGGCCATGACTTTATTTAATAGAATAATTTACAAGAATTTTAAGCACAATTAAGAAAATATCCAAATATCTTAACAAGTATTTTCACTGCTCTTGAGGAATTTATTTAAATGGAATATTATGAACATTGAAGCACGCTTACGAGTAATAAATACGAAATACTTAAATCCATCTTTATTTACTATTTTTACGCGTTTGCATATTTTAGGGTGGTTGGGAGTATTGCAGGGTTGTTGCATGAACTGCTGTGGAAGACTCTTAATTTCCGACATCGCCTCCGACTCCGGCATGTGCACAAAACAATTATAGCCTGTAGGTAATATAGTGGCGCAACATTTACGAGTACCGGATAAAAAAGGCGCAAAAAAACAAAAACAAAAAACCAAAAAGAAGAAAATAAAAATAAAAAACACAAGCATGAAAGAAAAACTGGAAAGAGAAGAAATGTTTTATGTGTTGTGGCCGTGGGGGGGAAAATGTTGCTTCAGCTATGGCGACGAGAGCGCTTAAAATAATTTCTGTTAAACATGGCCAACACAACGAGAGTTAGTTTGGGCCAACACACATACCAACTCGGTATGCTATTTTGAAGGAGGCGCCTTTGGCGCAGACTTGGCGTTTACCACTTGGTCTTGGGTATGTAGGCAATTTTCATGTCTGCAGTTGAAGTTGCACAGCTGAATTCAAGTGCTGGGATGCCTTGCTGCCGCCTGTCATTCGAGAGTAAAGTTTTTTGGTGCTTGGCTAAAATGCCTTAAGGCAACTGGCTTAAAGTGCTACACAGCCAGACATTGAGTGTGGCAAATAGGGGACGAGAGGAAGAAATGATTATGTGATTAGATGCGGTTGTGTGTTGTAGACACACATGTAAGTGTAAAGTGTAAATGTTGTCTTGCTATAATTGATATTGATTGCAGGAAACAGTTGCGGTTAACAAAATGAGCAAGTTGAGCCAATTTCACACAACTTTATGGTAATAATTTTATTGCAATTATGTTTAGAACTTGAAGTTTACAAAAGCACCAAAAGAACATTATAAAATATAAATTCATATCATATGCAGGCAAATTAAAAGCTGGTTAGCGGTTAATTGGCGGTTTATATAATAGATAATTCAGATATATATATATTATATTATTATATGTCTCTAAACAAAAGTCGTGCTCTCTGTGAAAGCACCACAAAGTCTCAACTTGTCGCCAGTGATAATGGCTCGCATGAATTGGGGTCCCAGATAGAGACCCTTTTCGCTTGATTGCGTATCACCATCCAGACGTATAACGTAATCCTTGCTGATCAAACGATTCGATATATCCTGCTCCAGTTTGGGACTCAGTATATCATATAAACTGCCACCGCTACCCATCGTCATATCGCCTGCCGCACCCCGCTTCTTATCGACAATGGTGCAACTGTTCTCATTCCGGAGTATTTCATCAAACTGACGCTTGACCTCCTCCAATGAGCTGCGTTTCGGGTAACCAGCGAGTCGCTCAAAGCACTTGTATTGATAGAAACGACGCTCCAGTTCGGCCAGTTCATCCAGCAAGACTCTCACGTTCGGCTGGTCATTGGAGTGGGAGCGCGAGAGGCGACACAGATCGCCCAAGAGCTGCTCGATGTGTGGGGCAAAGAGATCCTCCACATGCGCATTGCTGTAGATGTCCTGTTAAGAAACAAAAATGAGAATTATAAGAAATGTATTCTAAGATTTATCACTTCACACAATTAGTTAATGGTTAATATGCTTTAAAAATTATCTTTGATTTATGGCAACTTACAATCAACTTGAGTATGGCCGTGTGTAGCGTTGGTATTATAGTCAGCCCATAAATCTCACTCATGTTGCGCGTCTCCAGATAGTGTAGCACCTTGAGCGCCTCATTCGTATCATCGAAGAGGCGTCGCTGCCTGGCAATGGGCACCGCCTGTGCCCGCTGCCACACCTTCTGCCACGTATTGCCCTCGGTAGTCATGCGTACGCTCAACTGATGCTTAGGCTCTCCACCGTCTAGATAGTTTATAGAATTATATATCATATATAAACGCTGACCACTTTCTGCATGCTTACCATGCTGCACCTCCTCCCAGTCCTTGGGACTGTACCAGCGTATGAAGTCCTCCATTTTGCCACGCGGATTAGCTGCCTTGAATGCCTCCATGTCGGACATGAGGGATGTGCACATCATTTGTGTGCTCAGATCCGAACCGGGTCCCAGTTTCAACATAACCTCAGCATCGTCATGCAGCTGATCCTCAGTCTTGGGCACCGGCTCCTGTGTTTCGGGTATATACAGAAATTCATCGGGCTCGTCGAGCAAACGTTCGTCGCCCAAACGCTTTAGGCGACCCTCGGGCTTAAGATTCAACACTGCTTTAGTTGGCGAAACACTTGCAGAAGTGGCCTCATCGCAGTCATAGAATTCGCTTTCGTCCTCCTCCTCGTCTTCATCCTCATCCTCATCCTCGCTCAGCTCAATCTGCTTTTGTTGTTGTTTTCGTTTGCCGAGCGCTTCGCGTTGCACTCGCCGCTCCACGCAAACGTTGAGCATCTGCAGTTTCTGGTGCAACAGACAGGTGCGTGTGTCGGGAAAACCAGGTGCAATCCTATGCCAAGGAGAAACAAGAATTATTAGCAAAGTTTTGTGTGTTTTAAGTATTTAATGAAAGTTTTTAACAACTACTGTGTGAATAGAGTTCAAAATGTGGCATATATTTGAAAACATTTTACAATTCTAAACCCATTTGACAATTCCATTGTTGCAGAACAGATGGCCTAAAAGATTTAGATAGCCTTCTGCACAGCTTAAAAAGGAGCACTGTCGCCAAACTATTTGAAACTCATTTGATAAGTTATCAAAAAGAAATCAGCTTTAGCTATAATTCAAAACGCTACGTGCTGATATGTATCTGTATCTGCAAATATGTGATTTGCTATAAATAAACTGAAAGCCAATTGTAAACAAGGCACATTTTTGCATACGCTTATTTGAAGTTCTGAGTCCCGTATTCGAGCCATCATCAATGGTATGATAATATGAGCTGACGGTGCGACTTCATCATCATCATCATCATCATTGTCATCATCATACGCTGACGGCAGTGACAATGGCAACCCACATATGATATATGTGTGCTCGCTGATATAAACATATATAAATATATATATATATACGATATCTGTAATACATGACACGCACTGTCTTAAGGCGGAGTCTTTGTCACCGTTGCCGCTTGCCTCTTTTGGCCCATTTGGTATTCAAGTTGTTGCCGGCTTTGTGTGCTCTGCGTGGCTTTCGAGTTGTGCATAACAAATGAGTTAAACGTCTCTTAATGGAGTTGGAAGAGAGGTACGAGGGGAACGGGGAGCCGGAGAGGCGGCGGAGGCGTAGCTAGTCCCGTGAGTCATGGAAGAAAAGAGTTTATTGAACCCTCGAACAGTTATAAGTTACATGCATAGCGCTTCTTTTAGCCAAAGAGGAGCGAACTTATTTGGCCAACAGCTGCAGACGACGGATGTGTCCAGTAAGTAGTTGCCAAAACCGCCAACTCGACCCACTTGTGCATTTGCATAAACTTCGCTTATGAGTTTTGTGTGTACAGCTGCAGTAGCTGCTTAAAAGCTTTTTTTAGCCATCTAAAACCAAGTTGACAAGCGTTATCTTGGCCAAGTTCTGCTTAACAAATACTGACCACAATAGAGCCTTCTATCTGCTTGGACAGTAGTTTAAGCTCAAGTGCTCTGCACATCATTAATTGTTAAGGATGGGGAGTGAGGGGGAATCAAGTCAGACTCCAGTCTCATCATCACAAACGCCCAGCCATAAACTGGCCCTAATATATATATATATGTGTATATATATATAGGAGCAGAAACGTTACGTTTCAGTTTTGTGGCCAGGCCAGCAACAGCACACAGCAATTTGTTTTCGGCCATTTTATGTTGGCCTAGTCACTTTATAGTTCTATTTATTTCCACAGCAGCCAAGATGTGGGGAATGGATTAAGAGGCAACCACATGCGGAAATTGCCCAAGAGGCCTTAAAGACCAATGCGAGTTAAGAGACTGTGACAAAGATGTGCAAAATAATATATACCTATTTTATATTTACTTTGTGTATTTAAGAGGCTCTCGATTAAAAAGATAAAGAGTAGTTGAAATTAATAGGCATGTCGACTCAAGAGAATCTCAAATTTGGCATTATTAAAGCCCAGTTAAAGCCATGCCAGAAAAATACTTGAAAGAAGATTAATTTAATGTGTATATCATTAATACTAAATCATTTTGAGGTAGTCTTAATTAATAAATAACATTTTTGGCAATGATAACGATTAACAAAATACCATAAAACGCGAAACTGGTTAACAAATAAATTTAGCTTCAAAAAAAAAAATCATGATTTGATTAATTGACGCACAATAATTTATGGACTAATTTTATAACCCAATTAATGTGCTTTAGACTTCAATAATAGTTTGAAAATGTCTGAAATTTAATTTCTTTTTTATGGACTTTTTACTGTTTTTATAATCATTAACAAATAGGCGCCAGCTGTGAAATGGAAAGTGTTACAATATTCACACTTGCGTCTCACACTGATAACAACTTCAGCTGACGTTGTTTCAACTTATCTCATTTAGGCATTTCTCAGGTGTCTACAATTCCGCTAATCTTCGCCTTTACACCAAATGATTTATCAATGGAATAGACAATAGCAAAAATAAAAACAACAAAATAGTCACAACATTTGCGCAAATTGAGTAATATATAGTCCTATATACTCTTTGTTATAAGCTCACGCATTATGTGTATGGCATTAAGCATTAATCTAATCTCTGGCTATTTTTTTGGCAACAAAAATAAATAGAATTCAGTAGCTGCCTGATAAAGCCAGCTACTTGCGATAGATCCTTTGGTATAAAAGCCATGCAAAGTCGACATTCGGAATTGTTTCATTGATTAGTTTGTGGCCAGTTGGCAAACTGAAAAGAACGCAAATAAAAAGTATAAAGATGAAAGGTAAATTTGTTAAATTGGATTTGAAATTAGACTTTTGTTGTAGGCAGTAAAAACTTAAAATTAAACAACTACTTGCAGTTCGCAGCGGCCTTTTGGCATTAGTTGTTTTGGCCATCTGTGGCGTGAGCCAGAGCCAGCGTATTGATGATATTTGCGAGATGTTCGCTGATAATACGGTCATACGTGATCCAGAATCGTGCAGTCGATCAATAACCTGCCTCGATGGCAAGAGCACCTACAGCACCTGCACGGGCTCCAAGCCATTTTTCGACAAGAGCAAATTGAGTTGTGTGAGTTCGCTAGCTGAGGATGAAGCGGACGGTTGCTACGTGTCCTGTGTGAACGCAACGAATACATGGATTGGGGATCCAAAGTCATGCTTTGGCTACTATTACTGTATCGATGAGCAGACGCCCGCTTATGGCACCTGCCCGGACGATATGCACTTCAATTCGGCGATACAGGAGTGTGTTTGGACACATACATCTGACTGTCATTCGACCAAGTTTGACTATTGCAGCATCATCAAGGATGGCGTCAAATTTGATAATGTGCTCGGTTGCGATCGGTATCATGTGTGCACCAAGGGGGTACTAGTGGATTCGAGCTGCTCGTCGGGCTACTTTCAAAAGAGAACTGGCGCTTGTGAGCCCAAAACTTCAGTCTATTGCGATGCTCATCCCTTTCCCAAAAATGTTTGCGGCACGGAAAAGTCACCCAAGAAGAATGCTCTGGTGCCAGATGGCGCCACCTGTCATGGTCACTTCTTCTGTGCCGAGCAGGATGATGGCACCCCGGATCCAAATCCGCGTTGGGGCAGATGCAATGATGATCTGTTCTTTGACAAGAGCTCACAGAAGTGCGTTGAGCCGAACAAGGTCGTCTGCACGGAGGATCGCTGCCAGGGTCGCACAATTCCATTTGTCCTGAGTTCAACCAAGGGTTGTCGCCACTATCTGCGCTGTGGCAATGGTCGCACCATCGATGAGAAGAGCTGCGGCAACTACTTCTTCGATGAGGCCAACGAAATGTGTGTGGACAGGATATTGACGTATGCTATCTGCTAGCCTAGTCAGACCATTTGAAATCATTAAATAGATCTTATTTTCAAGAGCACATTACTGATTTCGATTTTCTTAGTACATAAGCACGTATATATATATTAAACTCAAGGAATAATGCAATCTCTTTGTTTTACTTCGGATTGTCGCAAGCGGCAATTAAATGCTTTCTATAACATTTTCGAGATTTCATAGCTTCATTAAAGAGTTGAGCAAATCGTCGACAATAATTTGAAACACTTGAAGATAGCCTAATCTTAACAATAAGCCATTATAAATAGCCCAATATGTTGTTTCCTTAACAAATCAAAAGCGTCACAGCAATTGAAATATTTATGATCACAACAGTTGATTGTGAGTCGCTGCTTATTATTTATTATTTATAGAACAATTAATTAGCTACATTTTACTGCAGCGAAACAATAAGTGGCTAATCTCAAGGTGGGCGAATTGCTCCAGCAAAAAGATTGGCAAGATTGGTAGCAACTGCAAATGATTAACACAAACAGATGGGTTTTTCCATATAATATAAATCAATGCAAGGAGCTTTTGTTTTAATTTTATGACCATTTAAAACATATCTCAAATTTATATTATACTAAAGCAATCTTTAGAATAGCGTTATCAGAGGCTTAATGGCTTATATTTTTTTACGAACCTTTAGTTGCCAGGCAAAATACCATCCTAAAATCAACTTTAATAGATTAGTTCAGCAACCACAAATCCGGCTAACACTTTCACACCTTACCCCACACGCACGCTGCCAGCGGAAAAGTTTTGAATTGACAAATTTCCATCTTAAGTACAAAAAAAACCAAACACTTTTTTGTGCACCTGCAAAATTCTAATCCACTTAAATACTTAACAGAATTATCGTGCGGTCGTCGTCCAGCCACGCCCACAATGTGGCCCGCAAGCCGAAAACAACCAAAAAAAAAAAAAAAAACAACAGAAAAAAGTGTGCCAGCAACAAACTCCTCGCCCTTTTGTTAAATAAAACTTCAATTAAAACTCGTTTCAAGTGAGGCTCAGACCCTAAGGGAAAAATTGTTTGTAAGCTGTCCTAAAATGGATGGAGGTGCAAAAAAACGTAGTCGAAAAAGAACAAAAAAAAAATTGTTGGCTCGCCTCTGATTCTCTTGGTCATTGTCTTAAAAAATGCAAATTTGGCAACGCAACGCAACCAAAAAAAAAAAAGACAAAAAGGTGAATAATTATGAGACAGGAACACAACAGAAAAATAATATAAAAAAAATACATTTACACCTTGAATTGGTGAGAAAAAAATGGTTTTTTCTTCTTTTTCCATTTTTTTTGTATTATATTTTTAATTTTAGATTTAACTGGAACTTTGTTGCACAACTGTACTTGAATCGTTTTTCATTCAGTACTCTGGCGTCTTTGTAATTTTCGCACTTTCGCGCATTAAACAATTTTAGCGATGCAATTAATTCGACGGACGGGCATCAGTGGAAAAACTCGGCATGGAAAAATGGGTGCAAGAATTTTTTAATTAAAGTTTGTGGCCGGACAGACGAATGAGAAATGAGCGGCTGGATGGGATTGCACTCTGTATGCAATAAGGGGGCTGGCTGCTCAAGGGGGGGTGTCAAGTGGAATGCACACTCAAGCGCAAAATATTTGTTAGCCACGTAATGCAATTTCGAGTTGAATTGTACAAAACATAAGGAAGCCAAGCCCGCAAATGGAAAGAAACAAAAGAAGCCGCAGGGAAGCAAACTGGCGGAAAGAGATGAACACAAACGCAAATCGCATGAAAAATTAAGTCAAGCGAATCGACATTTTGAGCCGTAGGGCTGGCAAAGAAAGAGAAAAAAATAATAATAATAATGCTGCTGAAAAACTATCAATCAATAGACAAAACGTTGATTAACATTATGAGGGAGCGAAGCGTGCAGCTTAATTCAGTTATTATTATTTTTTATTAATTTATAGATATTTTTTTGTGGTTTTTTCTCGGATGGCAAACAAATCATTGCAGCATTTGCTGTGGCATGCGCAGGGAGTAAGGCAATTTGTGGGGGCTGTTGCAACTTTACTTTTACTTTTGCCTTTAAATAATTCAGGCAAAACTTAACGTGTTGTTCAGCTAAATTAATATGGACAAAATGAAATAACGATTTCATTGAACTCTGGCATGTGATTGAAGTAAATATATTGAATATTTATTGTGCTACAAGCTTAAGCTAAAGAATAATTAGTTTTAGATAATAAGAAGAATTGATTGAATTAATTTTAAGCAAGGAAACAATTTTTTCTCTTTTCGCTTTTTGTTGATTGCGAAAATTTTTAAGAATAAAAAATAATAATTTTTCTTTTTTTTTTGACAAATATGTCGTCATAATTTAATAAAACAAATGTTGCAGTCATTATTTCAACTTGTACAACTACTTTAAATTTGGACTTTAAGTCTCAAGTAGTTTTTTTGGGCATTGTTAGTTGGTGGCATAAAACTTTACAAATTGTCATTGTTCCATTCAAGCGTTGACCTTTCGCTTCGCACCACACGGCGAATACGTAACATTTATTTAACGTGCATTCAACCGGTCATCGTTTTGTGTGCGTTGAATAAGAAAACAATGAAAATCTCTGAAGTCTAAAAATACAGACACCTCAAATGCGAAACTTGTGAGGCCTAAAATTGAGTGCGGCCATAATTCATGATTATGCAAAAAGGTCAACAGCTTTGACTGGACCAAAAGGGCCAGCCACTTAGCTATTGTTCTGGCTTTTTGGAGTGGGAGGTGGAGGGTTTCTTTTTTTTTACTTTTTTTTTTATGACGCGCCTGTCGCGCGTTGGCAAATTAAATTAAATGTCCGCCCGGCACACACACAAAACGATTTGGCTGCTGCTGAAAAGGATGCAGAATTTATTGTGCCTTTCGGTTTCTTTTTTTTTTTGTGCATTTTTATGCTTCGTTTTTTTTTATGGGAAGGAGAGCTTCGCACCGGAACTGACAGGCAAATTAATCAAACGAAACTGCCAAACGATCAACCAGAGAATGATGAGCAGAAAGATAGGGTGGGACGAGGAGAAGGGGGAGGAAGGGGGTCGTACGATACGCACAGTTTGTTGTTTAACGAGCGTGAAAATGAAATTGAGAGTAACTGGACAACTGATTGATAAAGCTATCCGCCTGTCCGTACTGGACTCCCTTTCCTTCCTTGGTGTCCTTTTGATCAACTGTTTAGGGCAAATATGTCACGTGTTTGGCAGCTGGCCAAATATATAAATTATATATATTTTAAGATATGCACCAGTATATGTATATATATATATATATGTATATTAAATCATTCCATCTTATTTTGTGTCACTTGCAGCTCTATGCCGGCACCAAGATGAGACGCAACAGCATTCAAACAGCGACCACTTCCACAAATCGACAGCTTTGGCTGCCGTCGCTGCTTTTACTTCTAGCAGGCAGCAGCAGGATCAGCGCACAATGTCCTTGGCAACGTGAAGTGCCCGATCTGCAATCGAGCTGCATATGTGCCTACAATCTCGGACGAGAGCTCAGCGTACAATGTGATCAGGTAAGAAAATCTGGTCTGATTGTATAAACATATAAATATAGAAAGAATTCAGGTTTCTATCGTAACATGACCATATAATTTCTGTGCCATTCCAGGTGGAGTTCTCGCAACTGGTGGACGCGATGAACAAATATGCGAGACTGAAGCCGGTGGATTTGCTGTATGTGAACAATGCTACAATTGAGGAGCTGCCCGATGATATATTCAGCAATCTGAGTCTGCACAATGTGCAGCTATCGAGCTGTGGCATCAAGAGAATATCGAGTGGCGCCTTCAAGGGGCAGGAGTCAATGCTAAAGAATCTCAATCTGCAGGATAATCAGTTGAGTGAGGTGCCCATTGCAGCACTCAAATTGCTGGGCAAGCTCAATCTGCTCGACTTGTCGCGCAATCAAATCACCCAGATACCGGACGATGCCTTCACGGGTCTCCACAAGCTGTCCACGCTGAAGCTAAATGATAACAATGTGACGCTATCTCCGAGCGCATTTCGTGGTCTCGAGCTGAGTCTGAAGAATCTCAATCTGAAGGGCACCAAGCAGCGGCGAGTGCCGGAAAGTATACGTGGACTGAAGAGTCTCGCATTTCTCGATCTCTCACAGAATGGCATCAAGGAGCTGCCGGGCGCTGGTGGCATACGTGTCTTCGATGGCTTGGATGCACTCACAGCCCTCAATATGGAACGCAATCTCATTCAGAGCATTGCGGAAACGGCATTTGCTGGTGTCCGCAAAACGTTGAGTTCGTTGAGTTTGCTTAACAATCTGTTGGCCGATTTTCCCATTGGCGCTGTGCATTCGCTGAAGGAGCTGCGTGTTTTGGATATTGGTTTTAATTTGCTCACCTCGCTGCCGGAGGCGGCGTTCCGTGGCAATCCAAGCATTACACTGCTGGCCTTGGACGGCAATCCACTCAGCACGGTGCCGGAGGGTGCGTTTGCCCATTTGAATGCCACGTTGCGTGGACTCTCCTTGGGCGGTCGATTCCTCCATTGCGATTGCAAACTGCGCTGGGTGGCCGAATGGATACGCAACGGTGACTTGCAGGTCAGCCAGCGGGCATATTATTTTAATCGATCTGTAGTTGATTGCCTAATTCCTTCTTTTTTCCCCTTTTTCTTTGTTTGCCTGTTAGGTCACCTCACGCGAACGCAATCCTCAGTTTTGTGGCACACCGCCACGTTTCCGTGATCGCGGCTTCTACTCCATACAGCCGGAGGAGTTGAATTGTCCCGAAATTGCTGATGTTGCGCTTCGTGGTCCTGTCGGCCTCGCCGACAATCTAAAGCCCACGTTTCCCTCATCACCGGACTCGGTGGAGTTTGAAACGGGGTCTGGCACTGGTACAGCTGCCGCCTCGTCACCAGTTGCCAACAGCCTGAGCACCACAACACCAAAGGCAACAACAACAACAACAACAACAAAATTAACCACAAGAACCACAACAACAGCAGCGCCAACAACTAGTTCCAGCACAACAGCGAGCACGGTGAGTGATTTTTGATTTGGGCAAGCAATTTGTACATGAGAATTCTTTTTATTTGTTCCTATTAAAATGAAATTGATTTTGAACGGTTTAAAAAGTTACGTCAGCTCAAAATTAATTGACAGCGACCCTTAAATAATGAAAATAAGTTTTATAACAGCTACAAATATATTATGCTTTAAGCGGTTTATATTCAGCTTTAAGGACTTGAGACGAGTGACCCGATTTTCAAACTGAGAATGTGCTGAAAGCCATTTTTAAAGGCTTTTTAAATTACCATAAAAACAAAACTCAGAATTAGCAAGCAATTATATTCAACTTACACTCAAGGATGAAATGAAATATAATTAAGTTTCTTACTAATGGAAAATGTTCTGCCACAAATCTGATTAAATGAATGAAGTAGTGATTTAAATTTTACTGGTTTTAAATAAGAGACAAGTGTCGCTTTGCCTTTCTCCCAGCATAACTACAAATTCCAATTTACGAAGTGGCTCAATTTGCATTTAATAAATCCTGAAGTGAGCACTTGCATTTTACTGACGACACGACACAACATGACTTGATACACTAAAAGCCCCAATTCGTGCAACTAACACCATAAACTGAACATCTTAATAGCAAATTTGAGAATGTCAGCAAGTGATTTATGCAACATTCAATATCTCTATGGCTCTCCCTCAGACTCGTCCGCCCACAGCAGCGACAACAGCCACAACGAAAGCCGCCCCATTGCCAACAGCTGGCATCAATGGCACTGGCAGCGTTCAGGCCACGGCCATAACATCGACAAGCAGCAGCAGCAGCAGCTCCTCGTCCTCCTCAGCCTCCGCTTCCGCCACATTGCATACGAGTGGCAAACAGGCGCCTGGTTGGCGTCAAGGCGCCAATGGATCGAATGGTAGTCAACACAAGCCACAACGGCCGCCACTGGTGCTCGGCTATCCGCCGCAACGTGGCACACGGATCGATGATGCCAACGAGGTGCAGGTGAAACATGCATTCCGTCAGGACAGCGCTGTCATCATCCAGTGGGACTCGGAAACGGCTAATATATTGGGCTTCCGTGTTGTCTATCGCCTGTTCGGCGAGAAGGCCTTCAAACAGGGTCCGCCCCTGGAGGCCAGTGAGCGTGAGTTTAAGATCAAGAATGTGCCCGCCCAGGAGTGTATCATTGTGTGCGTCATATCGCTGGAGGAGCTGCATGTGACGCCCGAAACGGTGCCATATCAGCAGTGTCGCGAGGTGCGCACCGTCTCCTCGCAGACATCCAACATGGATAAGATAACGATAGCGGCAAGTGCCGCCATTTGTGGCACCATCATTGTGGCCGTGATTGTATTCATCGCAGCAAGCAGGTAAGAATAATTACAAGCATTTATTCCTCTACAGCACATTCAGCTAGGCTCTAGTCTAGTATATGCACTCAGAAGAAATATGCCAGCATATTTGTCACTTTTTTAAATTACGGTTTGAGTTGAGACCATTTCGCTATTTAATTTATTAAACATAGCAAATATTTCTAGAATTGATATAGATTTAGTGCAAGCATTTGTAGCATTTTGAACCAGAAAAACTGATTTCAGGCTTTGATTTCCGTTTTATGGTGATTTCAGAATATTTTTCTGAGTGTACCCTTGCTGAGAGTGCTAAAATGTTCGCATTCTGTGCTATTCTTGTTAAACGTATTTTGTATTATCTGCGCTCGAGCATTATCATCATCTCAATATCTATTTTTCCCCCTCTCTCTATTTAATTTTGCAGGCGCTCGCGTAAGCTGCAAAATAACCAGCAAAAGAGTCCATTGCCAATTGGAGGTTTGCCCGTTAATTGTTGCGGTCCAACCGGTTCGCCAGGACCACTTGGCTCCATTGCCACGCTATCGGCATTTAACAATCACAAGGTGAGTTTTTCCACTTGCCAATTGGCTATAAAAATAAAATAGAAGGTGGCTTTCTGCCCGAGGTTGTTGCTAAATTGGCCTGTGACTCGGAAATGGCTGCAATTGAAGGCAACCTTTTTTTTCGCCACCATATTTTTTTTTATTTATTGACCAACAAATGAAACCGCTACGTTCTGAGGTCGAAATGGCAAAAGAGCCATCTATTTTATTTTTGTCTATATTTCGAGTGATTTTTAGCTATCAGCCGAACAAATTTTTTGTTGACCTTTTAAAAATCAAACAAATATTTGACAATATTTATTGATTTGTTTAAAAAAATGATCATTTAAAACGGTAACGGAAAAGTTATTCGAGCGATTGCATACGAGTATATACTGAATACATATTCAACTATAGAAAACCCCAAAAAAACATAAAATATCAAAAATAAATTATTATTTGGGTTCTCTTTAACGGCTTTTATTGAAAGTTGAACCGTTGAATATTTTGTATATATTGCATTTTCCTTTCAACAATAGGAAACTTTAAAAATTCACAAAATCAACTTGCTAATAAAAGTACATTTTTATTTGGGGTCTCCTTAAAAAATGGCATTTACCTAAAAGTTGGAAATTCCAAAAAAAAATTAAACTTTATAAAAAGTAACTTTGACTATATATTTTCAACTATGACCTCGACTAACTTTCTGCGCTTCTCGTCTAGGAATGGGATCAAGTATCTGCGTACAGTGGACGCTCGATACCGCGACCACGCATCTATCCCGTCGAACAGCCTGATGATATGCGCAGTCATTTCTCTGGCATGCCCGGCAAGGTGGCCAAATCAAGGTAAGTCGCACAGAGGTCAAGTCAAAAATCATGAAATATTCAACATGCAGCATGCATCGTAAATCATTAAAAATGTTGCACAAATATTTGCCTGATTTTTGCGATTTAATTTATTTATTTCACTTGTTATTGATTTAATTATAATTTCATATTTCATTATGTTCGTTGTTTACTCATGCACACACACACACACACACACATATATACACACACATACATGCGACTGCGACTGCGACTGCGACTGCTACAAACGAATCTCGGTCAACACCAACAGCAGATCCATAGCCGATGGGCAATCGCAGCACAGTTTCTCGAATAATTCGCATCGCGGTTATTTGGGCAGCGCCTTCCCCACAAATCTGGTCAATTCACGCCCAGAGCTAAGGCAATCCCGCCAATCGTTGGCTGCTGCCTCCGAGCGTATGTCACGCGCCTCCTACGCTGGCTCCATACACGGCGGCGGCGGCGGCGGTGGTGGTGGCGTTGGTGGTGGTGGTGGTGCCATGGGCGTTGGCGGCATGGTCAATGCCGGCAGCTTGATGGGCATGAGCGGATTGGTTGGTCCCGGTGGTCCAGCGAGCATTGCATCCAGCAATGCAAGACGCTCACGTCCGCGCTCCAGATCACGCGATCAACTGAACACAACGCACATACATAACCATCGACCGGGAAGTCGGTAAGTAGAACGACGCTACTAACCCACGTCTGGCAGAGGCTTAACACTCACACACACACACGCACACACACAGCATACACACACACAACTGTCAACAGCTTATGAGCAGCTCAAAACATGTAGCTAATTACAAACGTCACACTTTCAATTTTTTATTATTCATTCGAAAGTTTTAAAGCAACAAAAAAAAAAAACAAAACTAGTTTTTATTGTCATCTTTTATATGTTGTGCCATTAAATTTGATGAACAATTTGCGCTTTTCACCCTTCTTTGCTTGTTAACTAAGCTGCGACTTAAAATGAAAGAGGCTTGGTCTCTTTTTATAAGCGTATTTCAGATTTACTAATTTTGATAGTATTACGAATAAAAAGATTTAAATATGACATATATATTGTTATACAAATAGTTTCATTATTACAGATTGTAATTTTGAAGTGAAGAGATTTTTTAAGTTTGCAATCTCAAGAGTCTTTGATATTAATGGAATAATAATGCTGATTTACACAAAGATGGCTTTTACTTTATTTAGTTTGGCTTTTAGCTGTCGAACACTTAAACATGAATACAAAACATAGTTGGGGTTGTTCCCTATTACCACATAAATCTACTGCTGTAGCTTGTGAAACCTAATTAAAATCACAGTTTATGTTATGTTAGGTATGTGCTTTATCAGACATTAACATACATCTTTTCCTTGCGAAACTTTATTAAAAACATCACATAAATAAATAAAATACATCGCGCTGTAACCCATCATAAATACAATTAACAAGCCAACTCTGTTTAACTCGGCGATTATTTTATTAAGTTTACCACCTGCTAATTTTTGAATAATCGAACACAGCACAAAAAGTTAATTGAATTAATTTAACATTTTTGATGTTGTTGTTTGCTTTGCTCAGTGTGTAAACTTGTTACATTCATTATACAAATGTTATTTTTTGCTTTTTTTTGTTGTTGTTAAATTTCATTTTGGCACACTACAATTTGGCGCAAGTCATTAGCCGCCTTTCCCACAACAACTTTCCACACACAAGTTAATTGCTGTATTTGTAATCGATGCTCTCTTCTGCTCCCCTCCCATTTCCCCTCCGTCGTTGATAGATATTCGCAGGCGGGCTCAACGCATACGCTAAACAATTATTGCGATACATCGGATAATTGGACCGATCATGATATGGATATATATATGGCGCGCAATCCGACAACGCGCAACGGTCTGGTGCCATTATGAGGGCGGCTTATGTTATCCTGATATTTCAATGTTGTATTAAATTTGGATGGCATTTTCTGACAATATCTGACGCCGGCCATTGCAGCGGGTGGCGATGGTGGACGGCGTCAGCAGCAACAGCAGCAGCAGCAACAGCAACAGCAGCAGCAAAGAGCTGCAGCACAACAGCAACAACGACATAGAAACAATCAGCAACAACAGCAATTGCAGCAGCCATATCAACAACAACAACACCAACAACAACAGCAACAACAACAGCAGCAACAACAACAACAGCATCGTTTACAATATTACAATGCAGCGCAGACACAGCGTTGCACCTCGCCGCCCGATGTGGTGCCCCGTGCAGCCAATTTCCATAATAGCAGCAACAGCCACACAAACAGCAACAACCCTAACCAGCAATCATTGCCGTTGCCAGCTGTTACAGCAGCAGCAGCAGCAGCAGCAACAGCAAACATTGGCATTGTTGTTGAGAACTATTTCAACGAATATGAGCGTCAGGAAATCATTTATCATCCAACTAGCAATAACAACAGCAGTAGCAGCAGCAGCAGCACGCCAGCAACACGTTTGGGCAGCCGCAGCAACAATGCCTTTCGTTTACAGTTGCCCGCAACGGCAACGACGACTACCAATATTTTCTATAGGCGAAAGAATTATTCAATAGATGCAACTAATGCGCATACATTTAGTGATAACTGTAACTGTACTTGTAATTGTAGACTAAGCGAACAGCAGCAACAGCAACAGCAGCAGCAGGAGCAGCAACAACAGCAGACAGCAACCACAACAACAACAACAACACCAACTGACAGCAGTCGCGTTGACACACAAACAGAAGCATCATCCTTGGCGCCCAGCACTTCAGTGTCAAGCATTGAGCAAGTGCAGCCAGCTAAGTATGAGCCCGAGACGGCAACAATTCCAACAGCAGTAGCAGCAGCAGCAGCAGTAGCAGCAACAACAACTGACACAACAACAACAATAACAACAGCAACAGCAGCTGTGGCCTTGTCTGAACTGAACTTGACATTGGCTGACATTGAGACGGACTTGGACTTGGACACGCTTTGAATGCAATATACTGTTGTTGTTGTTGTTACTGTTGTTGTAGCTGTTAGCAAAGTTGTTGTCACTGTTGTTGTTGCTAATGCTTGTTGTCGCATCCCAAGCAATTTACATAAAAAAAGAAAAATAACTGAAAGAAATATAAATTCAAGTTAACTAACTATTTTTGTATGCTGTTTAAAAAGTGCAATGAATTACTTATACACATTATCTATTGTTTGTGTACATAAATGTAATTGTTATCTATTATCTGTAATCTGCAAACTGCAATCTGTATCCGTTAACTGTATTAGCGCTTTTTTTTTGGTTCTTTGTCGTTGTACGCGTTGTTCTTCTTTCTTTTCTTTTTTGGTAAAGCAGCAAATGTTAAGCAATCAAAGAACTAAAACGTAAGTCAATAACTTATAAAATGGTACTAAAACACGCACACACACACACACACACATACATACAAACACTCTAACTAGCTATTAAATCACTAATCTATAAAACAACATTATTTAATATAGCCTAGTAAAAACGAAAAGATAAAAAAAAACCTTAAAAACTACGGTGCGACAAACATGGCAAATTTAAAAGTTATAAAATTTAATCATTTTTAAATGAACTATAAAAAAAATGTAGATTGAATGATTCTGAAATTTATTTGAAACTTTCTTTACGTTTGTCCAAATTCATCAACATTCATGCTGGAATTTTTTATGTTTATTTTTCAAAAGTTTCGAAAAGAAGTCAAGAATTTAATTTTGATATTGTATTTCCTATGCTTGTCGCATCGCGTCGAAACAAAAACGAAACAAGAACACATTCCAATAGCTCTGTGCAAAGAGGAGCGTTTTACTGCCTTGAATATTAGGATATAATTTTGAGAAAATCAATTTTCTCTCGATTCTGTTTGCAACAAATATATCAAGCAAATAATTGTTTTCATTTTTTTAGAGCTCAAGAATTTACTTTTTGTATAAAAGCTTCAGTCGAAAAGTTTGTGTGCTAAGTTGATTTAACAATTAATTGTTTAATTTTTATGTTTAAATATAATTTCATAGTGAGATTTTAATAAAATTAAAAAAAAATATTAAAAGAAATTTAGTGTCTTATGATTTTTATTTAGTTTCGCCTTGCAGGCTACGTTTTTGTCTTGGGTTTGTATTTTGCATTTTTTTATATATTTTTTTTAATTGTTATTACTTCATTTTTTAATTACAGTTTTAATGCGAAGAGTTTTGCTTTTTATTAGATTTTCATTTGATGCCATCTGTAAATGTTTGTACATAAATTGAATAGTTAAGCTTTAGAGTTGAGTTTCAAGCATTTTTAATGATAGGATTTGTCAGAGTGCAAATCCAGGAGAACACAGTTGACAGTTAACAATATTTAGTGCCGATGGGCAGGATGAAGGCCAAACAAATGGCCAAACCCAATAACGCTCATATCAGGCACTAGATAATTTAGTAAAGTAAGTACATACATATATATAGACACATACATCTATTAGAATTCGATTTAGAAAGAAGTTAAGACAACGCTTTGAGCATTAGACAAGTAAACACAATTTTGATGGAAAACGGGAGCAATTATTTAGAACAACAACAATAAAATTATAAATATATATACATATAAATAATAATATATTAAACAATTGTAGGCAATAAATTAAAAAGAAAAATGTAGATGAAGATGCAGAAGAAGAAAAACACCCAACAATTTTAGTTATAATAAAAAGCAAAAGCAAATGTTTCACTTGTAAAGTAAGCAAATTAATTAGTTAAGTACTCAATGTATCGATAACACGATATACAGCTGCGTTATCGATTCTAGTTATAGTCATAAGAAAATTTGAAATCAAACCTAGTATTAAGCTTAATAACAATGAATTAAATTAATTAACTGCCTTAGCACCAGCGAAAAATGAGTTTAAACAATTCAAATGATAAAGACGAAGACGAAGAATCAAGATTTAAGATTTAAGATTGAAGATTGAAGCACGTGCTTAGTTTTTAGTTTAGCGGCACTTTAGAGAAACGAGTTGAGCAACCTTGTACACAAATACTGCCAAACAGCAACAAATAATACAAAATCACGTGACATTGGGCCTGCTGTCTATATATATATCTATATATTTTGATACCCTGAACCCATTATATATATGTAACAAGGATATAATCAAGTGGAGCAAAAGCATGTAGCAAACAGACGAAAGCATATTCGACCCCATAAGGTATATATATATATGTATATATATATATATATCCCTAATCACCGTCACTGTCTGTCCGTCTATGCGAACAAGTCATAGAGACTATAAGAGCTAGCTTAACTTAGCTTATATATAAAGTATCGGCTCTTATATACCACGCATTGATCAAAAAGCAATAAAAATCGATTGCCGATAACATTAAATTACAAACTACAGCAACATATTATTATAACTGCATTGCATTAAGATCGGATAAGCAAAACAGTTTCTGTTAATCAAAATAAAAATTCACGTTGATCGACAAGTCTACTTTATATATAAAAGCTGGGTTCAGGGTGATTGCTGGTCGAGCTGTCTCGACTGGACTATTCTAAATTATCTGCCTTTGTTGGTAATACAAATTAAAAGCCTTTTCGCTTTTATTTTCCATCAAATTTTTTTCCTCCAATGTCACGTTGAATCCCACTCGAAAAATTATATTGAATAAAAAACCAAACACGATAAAACACCATCCGATTTTAGACTTTAGAACGGAATGAAGTTACTCAAATCTTACCATAAATGTGCGTTAAATTGTTAATATACTAATTAAAGTGTTAACTTTGCGGCTTCAAAAAAACAAACAACAAAAAAAACTAAAAAAAAATATGTATTAGCAAAAGTTCATTAGAGACAAGTTTTTGCCAAGTTTTTTCGTTTGTTGTGTTGAAAGAGAAACACGTTTTTTTTCGCTAATACGCATCAAGTTCCAAATAAAGCATATTTTTGTTAAGTGCTCAAGATTTTTTAATAATTAAAGTGGGACGGATTGCTTACTCACCCGGGCACCGATAGGGAATTGTCCCATAACAAACGCAGTTGGCGTGTAAATACTGCCCACAACTGGGCCATGCCCTCCACGCCGCCCAGGTGGGCGTGGCAAGTGGACAACAGGGAGCTGAGGCGACAGACCAAAGAATCAGCAACGGCGCTCTTAATGCGCATCGGATCGAACTGCAAACAAATTGTTTGTATAAATAAAGAAATGTGGAAAACTGAAGCTTAAGAATCAGCTCACCTTATCCTTAAGGCTATGCTTGTCGTAGGGAAACAGTGCCAGTTCGGGATGCATATCGGGAAACAGATAGGCGAGCAGCTCGGCGAGCTCACTCGCCGTCATGGGTCCCGGCAGTCGCTTGGTGAGACCCGATTGCGAAGGCAGCTCATAGTTCTGCTGTTGCTGCCGGCGCGTTGTCAACTTGTGCTCGGTTAGCTTATCCAGGGGATTTGTGTGCTCTGCACCGCTTCTGGTGCCCGAGAAATTGCGACCCACATAGGAGTCGAGGGTGCGAGTGACTTTGCCGACCGCTTGATAGTCTCGCAGGCAACAGCTCAAATAGGAGGAGGCCTCCACAGATAAGTAGATCTTGCCTAGGGGCGCTTTTGAGGGCACAAAATCTGTGCGCATCTCGCTGTCAAAGGCCACCGTCTCCGAGAGTTCGGGCCACGTGTAAACCAAATAGCTTTCCGTACAAGATTCGGGTGCATAACCATGTGGCAGGGCATAGAACTGCTGCACATCCAAACGCTCCACATCGCCATCGATGGCAATATCCTCTGAGCTCGGTCCATGAGCAAAGGGCACATACAATGGCACACGAATTCGTACCGCATCCAGCGAATAGGTGTTTCTCACCGATACCCTCGCATCTTGGGCATACGAAGCCGGCAACTTGTCATGGAAGAGCGTCAGTAAACCCATCAGGTAACGACACTCTGGCGGCGCCTGCTCCAGTCCAATCAGACGAAAATTGGTGCGCAAAGCGGGCGCCAAGGCGACGCCAGTGTAAAAGTTCCATTTGGGATCGTAGATCTGCACAAAGATCGGCACCACGCTGCTGACTTCAGCGGCCACAACTGCCGCAGCACTCAAAAAGAAATTGAACTCTGATGTGGATTTCATATAATTGCTGGCCGCATTCACTGGATGCAGCACAATAAAGCGACGCAGTCCGTAAATCCGCGCCAGCGTATGCAGCTCACTGGAGTTCCTTATGGGCGGACCAAAACTATTCCCACTGCACATTAAATCATGATGGCAATTTGTGCGCTGCAAGCAATTGCTGACTGGTGCTTCTGCAGCCTGCTGCTGCCCTTGGGGCAATTGTGCCTCGTAGTAGTCGACGGCGATGACATTGCGCAGCATATTCAGCGTCTCGGACTTCACTTTCCATTTGCATCTGAAAAGCTCCTCGGGCTGCAGTGGGACGCCAACATCGACGGCCACCTCCCATTTCTGCAGCAATTCGCCAAGCTGCGCGTTGAAGACTTCCCAATCGGAGTCAGCGCTGAAGTTCTCGCGATAGAATTCGTTATCATCGATTTCCTCGGCCATTGTTTTGTGCCAATTTTACTAGTATCAACAATCAAATGGCAAAACAACACAATAAAATACGAATAAATGCTGCCAGCTGGTCGGCCAGAGTTGACACGGTGCCGCAGTATGCCTATGAGCTGAGCAGCTAGAGATGAGTTAAAATTGCACAACGAGCAAGCGATATAATTGTAATATATATTAATAATGTAAATAATAAAGAAAATAAAAAAGTAAATAATACTAATAAATAACTAACAATAAAAGAAAATTGATATTTCGAATGAGACAATTATACACATTGAGTGATCAGCATACTGTGCATACCTAAGTTAGCGTTGCCACACTATTGAATTCAGCATCAAACGCGTACTATCGATTTCTGCCTATCGCACTGTCAGAATCAACATCATAATGGAATACAAAAGAGGTGCATTTCAAAATAACAATAAACAATTAAATAAATATCAATTTGATAACAAATTTAAATTAATGCAGTTGGCAAACGTTTTCTTTGGAACCTGGCGTCGACAAAACTCTTTTTGGAACTGTGGCAGGAGTACATCGAAGAATTGCGCGGCACTCGAGTAAATGCGCAAATCTACAAGGAGATCGCCGACAAATTACACAAATTTGGTCCAACTCACGTTGAAGTCAAGGCCAAAGTGGACAACATGACCAGGAAATACAGGTGTGTGTGTTCCCCTTTATTAATTAAGTATATAATATTGTTATTTCTGCTGTTTCAGAATAGAATTGAATAAAAGTCACGCAACTGGGCTGCCATCGAAATGGGAACATTTTAAAACGGTGCAAGAATTGTTGAATGAATCGAGATCGGTCAAAATGAAACTTGTCATGGCCAACAGCTTGGGTATAAACTAAATATACCTCATAATTATGCAGCTCGAATAATGTGTACATATTTATTGCAGATTTTTCGCCATTTGAGGATTCTGACAGCGGCGATTTGGACAGCATAAACTCGCCAAACAGAAACAACTCTCCAGCAATAGAGCCAAGAAGCAGTCCTGAAATCTATCAAAAACGAGAACCATCAAGTCCTGCTTCTCAAAAAAGCGATTCGGCGTATTCAACAAATACTTATGCGCCAGCAGAGTCAATGGATTTGGATAGTAAGCCGGATAGATTATTGGCCATTGAGGAGGCTAATTTAGACATACAAAGAGAAAAACTGAAGGCCCTGAAAAGCATTGCCGATGAGTTATCTTCGATTCACAGGGATTTTCTCAAAGTTTACTCAAAACACAAGTGATGACCTTAGAAATACGAGCTTGGCTTGTGCCTTGGATTCTGTTAGCAATAGTTCTTAAGTATTTATTATGCACAGAGATTAACAAATTTGTTATGAATATTACTTCAATTGCTGATAAGAAAATTAACTTTGTTTATATAAAAACAAAAAAAAAAACATTTCTTGCCCGAAAATTGGAAAACTTCGATTCTCATTAATCAACTGTTTGTGAAAAGGGACAAACATATTGGCAACGCTTTGCCAAACTGATGAAGCGATAAGTTTCAGTTTGTTAATCGCCTTCATAAATTAATCGACTTCAGCCGCGTTTTAATTTTCGCAATTTTGGTGTTATATTTTAAATAAATATTGGAGAAAGCTTAACGCTTGCACATATTGGTAAATTGATAAAACTGCAACTATATAGCTTGTAGTTGTTGTTGTTTTTTTGTTTTTATTAATTTACATCAATTCATTCACTATTTGCTGTCGCGCGCGGGGCTTTGCTTAAAAGGTAAACAACACACTCAACTCGGGCTTCTTAGCCAACGATGAGAGTGCCCTCATCGGGGAACTCATGGGTGGGCACCTCCAGATTCAGTGGGGCCGGTCCCTTGCGGATGCGCCCAGAGGCATCATAATGGGAGCCATGGCAGGGACAATAGTAGCCACCAAAATCACCAGAATTCGCAATTGGCACACAGCCCAGATGCGTGCAGACGCCAATCACAACGAGCCACTCGGGCTTGATGACACGTTGCTGCAGAAAAGCTAGGATTACAATCATATATATCTATATGTAATATGGTATACGCACATCATCAGTTTCGGGATCACGCAGCGTGGATGTGGGCACGCCCCGCTCTGTCTCGATCTCGGATGCGGTGCGATGGCGAATGAAGAGTGGCTTGCCGCGCCACTTGAACGTCACCGATTTGCCCTCGGCTATGTCTGCAAGTTTGATCTCGATTTTGGCCATGGCCAGCACATCGGCCGAAGCGCTCATTGAGCCCAGGAAGGTGTTCACCAGACCCTTGGCCGCATACACACCGCCAACGGCGCCGGCACCGACCAGCATATAGGAGAAGGCCTTGCGCTCCTCGGCGGACTCGTTGCGGCGACGCACATCCTTCACAGAGTCACGACGATACGGCGAGAAATCGGGCACCTGCAGATCGCTGTGCGCCTCCCGAGTGGCTGCAAGAGGAAAACAAATACATTAGTTATGATTTACGCTACAAATATGATTGATTGACAACATGTTTAATGCTCAAAAAACAGCAGTAGTTGAAGCACCCACATCTTGGCCCGGGCAATGCCGGACACTTTCATTCATTCGCCAATCAGCTGTTTGCCAGGAACGAGGTTATGTAGAAATTACGTAAGGAAATTGGTAACTTTGGCCATTTGACGATTAAAACATTGCGGAAAACATTTAATCTTGAATGTTGGCGGTGCTCCACGCAGAATTCCACAGAATTGGTCTATAATTATGTAACTGCAGCTCCAGATTTCTATTGTTGATGCTTACCAATGGCATTGACAGCAGCACCGCTCGCCCGCAGGCTGGTGGACAGCGCCTGTGCGCTGGCTCGCACATAGGCACAGGACACGGCTTTCATCATTTTGTTGGCTTGCGTTTGTAATTTCTAATTGTTTTTGTCTATCGAAAAAATTTCGTTGACTTTACACCAACGTCGTCCGTCTGCTTTGCTGTTGCTGTTGAAAACCAGAGTGACCGAACGCCGCAAACGTGAAAATACCAAACTATTTCACCTACATATTAAATTCACTCAATACCAACAAAACTCTATGTTTGACAACATAGAATAAAGTATCAAGTGTCTACATGGGTGAATATATACTGTTTTGTTTACTGTTTGTTTACCGAAAGTCAAAAGTTTACAATGTAGTAAAAGTAACAAGCATTTAAACTTTCATCAGATTGGCATTATGACGTGACGTAAGCGCAAATTGAGCAACGTAGCTCAAACTGCGTGCCGCTTGCCAAATACACGTAAGCAAATGTTGGTTGCGCGCCAAATTTGACTCACTTTACGTTGCCTGAGAGTGCACGAGTAGGAGATACCTTAGTCATAAACGCTTTAGATAAGATAAGTCGACACGCAAAAAAATGCGTTGCTTGGCAAGGCATATATGTGCAGCATCAACAGTAGAGTTGAGTTTATTTTGCGAGTACTGCCTAGAGGAAGCTATGCAAGAACACACAAAGTTATCTGACCGCCAAATTTGAAACATGTGCGAAATTCAGAATTTCAGTTTAACAAATCTTTTTGAAGCAGGGAATTCCCATTATTGAGCGATCTCTAAACAGATCTCAAACATAAATTCACTCCATATTAATAGCTGCTTTTATAGATTAAAGTCTAAGAACAATTGTGACATAAAAACAATCCCTTATTTTTGATTTCCTTACAGCTTCCACCTAAATGAGAGACTGCATGCGTATTTCCCAGCTAATAATACTTAACAGACTCCCCGGCCTCCCCCACCCGCTGAGTGGCTTGGTAACGAGGTAAGCGAGCAACCCCTTTCATAAAAAGTTTTCCCTTCTAAATTCGAAACTGCAACAATTTAGCTTTCGCCAAAAATACAGAAAAAGGGTTTTCATGGAAAACCGGTTGTGCACCACCGAAAAAACCACCACCATCACAGTTTTTCCGATTGCATTTTCCTCTGCTCAATGTTATGTCATTGATTAGAATCCTGCGCCCTGAAGTTCTCTCATATAAAACACAGGGACAGGGATGGGGATGTGAGTTGAATGTCTAATTTTATTTAATTAATAAGCGCTCTTTAAGTTTATTCCCAAATGAAAAACGTCGAATCGTCTGTTTTGCTCTTCGCTGACCTCATCGCGCTCAACCGCAAAAACAATAAACGCATAAAATGCCAATAAAAAAATGCATAAAAATGCGAAACTTGACAAAAATAAAAACAAAACTAAAAAAAAAAATCACATTATTTATGCGCATAAAAGTAGGCAATAGCAAAAACAAGCACAACAACAATATTCGCCAAACTTTAAAACCCAATCGGCAAGTGGAATAAAAAAAAGAAGAAGCCCAACAACAAAAATATAAAGCAGTAAAAAAAAAAAAACCAGCAACGCGCACAGCCGGCAAAAGTAATTCCTTTGGCGCCAGGCCTGTGATTATCGAAAGTAGTTCTTTTTGATGTTGAAAGTTTTTGCCTCCCTCGCCGCTAGTCCCCCCGCCCCCCCTTTAGCCACAAGCTGCCCTCCCCGTCGCTAGGTGGCGTAGCGAAAGTGAAAGTGAAAGGAGAAATGCGTGCTGCTAGCGGCGTCCGTTTCCATTTCCAGGCAAGGCAATCTGCGCACATAACGGCGCCTCTATGTACTTACCACGACACTTACACACACACACACACATAGTAATGCACACACACACATATATATATATATAGACTTACTAACATTCACATAGAGACGCACAAAAAGTGCGTGAATTTTTGAGCAAAACAAGAAATCCAACAGCAATTTATGCCAGTTGCTGCAACGAACTTAAAATACTCTAATAAATTGCATAGCTCTTGGAGCAATTTTAGATCGTTGCAGTTGGATTAATTTCTATTGATTTATTGTTTGCTGTAATGATTGTTCCTTAACTATAGTCTGACTGCAGCTCATAGTCGTATTGGATTATTTAACCACCTTAAGCTTTTATATAAAAGAAAAATCTTTATTAAAACAATATTATTCTTATCGTTACTATTATCAGTAGTATTCTTTTTATTATTAATAGTATTATTATTTTTATTATTATTATTTTTCATTTCTATTATTTTTTTTATACATATATTTGGGTAGGGTATACAAATTTGGAGTCTCTAGCTTATGTAGCCATATTAAATTAAGCCAGTAATAATCTAGATGCTGTAATCTCTAAAGACTCTATCTGTATTATTTCCGTTGTCAAACAAGATGACATAGTCAACTGTATGGCTCAATTGGAGAGTGTATTGCAACAGCACAGTTAAAACTATGCCGCGTAGGCGACGCAGCAGCAGCAGCAGCAGCAGCAGCCCAGAAGCAGTGAAGAGCTCCCCTTTTTAACCTACACACAACAGCACACCACACACCACTCTGCTGGCGTTAACTGCGTTACACTTTTCAGCAACTTTTACATTGGGCAATGGCGCCAACTACAACATCAACATCAACAACATCAGCAACAACAACAACAGCAACAACAACAACAGCAACTTGCTTTGGCTGCCTATTTTTCAAGCCCGCCCCGCCTTCTAAATGCCGAAGGGCTGCTTTGCTCTTCCAGCTCCACTTTGGTATATGTGTATGTATGGGTGTGTGTGTGTATGTGTGTGTGGCGTGTGCAGCGTTGCGGCTGCGGCTGTGGCAACAACAACAATGACAACGACAACGTCGACGACAACAGCAACATTGCCTGCTACAGCCGCTTATCGCAACATCAGCCAAGCATAAAGCTCAATACGCACACCCAACTCAACCCAACCCAACCCAACTCAACCCAAACCGAACCGAACCATCCATCCACCCACTCGCACCACCAACCACCGCCCTGCAACAACAACAACAGCAAGAAATTTGCCCCCCCTCGTCGACGAAAGTTGAAAGTGGAAAATTGTGCGTGGCAGCCAAAAAGTTTCAGCTGAGCTGAGCTGAGCTGAGTGACGGCCTCCTAAACTGACTGACTGACTGAGTGACTGACAGTCGAGCTGACGCCCATGCACACCACAATTTCCACACCTCTCCCCTGCCCCAGCTCCGCTTACCCCCTTTTTTTGGCCTGGACTACCTTGGCATGCAAAACCCATTTACTCCTTGGGCGGCTTCTCTGAAAATTAAATGAAATAAGCAGCTAGCTCTGTGCAACTCCCGCAGTGTTGGCAAGGGAAGTGAGGCGATTGGTGTTAGAAAAGTGAATGGAGAAGGGGGCGTGGAGGGTGCTTCTGTGCTGGCTTGTGGCATGTGCAGCCTTTAAGATGGCGCGGTCTCGGGTCCCTGGAGCCGCAACCAAATGTAGCACAGCTGGCAGTCATTTTCTCAACCGAACTCTCGGTTTGCATTTAAAGTTATTATGCCAACGGCAACAATTCAGTTTGGGTCTACATATTATATATATATACATCACACATAAATATGGCCTTATATATATATATATACATATATATCTATATATTTGTATATATATTTTTTTTTAAGATTGTTGTTAGCACATGCTTAGCTGTGCATTTTGTTGCCTGGCTAAGGTCTTTCGGCTGGACCCAGTCAGTAATGTCTGTCTGCTGTCCGGTCGGCGTCTGCTCGACTTTTTTCCTAAGCCATTTTGCCAGCCAGGATTAGGTGACCATGACAATTGTTCAATGGACAACGGGCAATGAGCCTCTGTCCCCTTCTTTGTTTATTTGGTGTGCCCCAAACGACAAGTTGAATTTCTTTGAATTTTTAATGTACGTAAAAAAATATATATTTAAAGTGAGTGCTAAGAAAAAGTATAAATTAAATGCAAGTTTGTTGGGAATTATTAATTTTGATTGTATGTTGGGTTTCAGAATTAAAGTTTAGAGGCTTAAAATAATTAAAACATTAAATAATTGGATTTAACTTTTAATCATTTAATAGTTTTTTCTTCTATTTATCGCTGTGGGAAGAACTAATTGCAGATATATCTATTTATTTCTGGGGAAAAGCTTAAGAAAGTTTATTTGATTTGATCGACAACATCAACCGTCTTCCGAATATGGATAAAAATCGATATACGATGGTAATGCATCAGACACTTATAATTATATTTACTTCCAATTAATATGCAATATCATATTATGGATCAACTATAAACATTTCATTAAGATCGTAGATGTAGACGTAGATTTTGATGGGCCAAACATATTTTCATATTGAAAAAACTACAATCAGCACGCCATTAAATCATTTCAATTCCTAATCAGCAAATAGAGTTTTTATTAATTCATATCAGCTTTTAGTGTTGAGTTAACTGAAGTATTTGGGAGACGCCACTTTACAACTCATCGGTGATTTCGCGTTCGGCGAGTGACATCTTCTTGGACAGCTGTACATCATCTCCTTCCCAGGCTGCAACCTGGTTGATAGCTGGCCTCTGGGCACAATTGATGTGCATCTTATGGCCACGATTATTGGCAATATCACCTAGGAACTTGACCAAGTTATCGTGTGTGAATGGTTCGTTAAATACAGAGAATTGCATTTGTTCGCAGTTGACGGCGACCAATGCTGGATAACCCGAGTTTGTCACTTGCAGACCCTCCTCTAGCACCGGCTGTTCTCCTGCCTCGTTCCACAACCAACCGAAAGGCTCCAGCTTAAACTTTTCGCTCAGCTTGCGTAAAGAATGCAACAATGTGTGGCGACACCTGGCATTGCAGTCGAGCAGTGAGGGCAGCACCGAAATCACACACCACGATTTCTCCTCACATGCAGCATACAAACTGGCCTCATCGATCAGCTGCAGCAGTTGGGGCACCTCCAACTTTCCCACCGCCCAACTGATAATATCCGCTGCATTTCGCTTGCCATGATAATCCTGCGCATTGCTGACTAACCTTGTGTTGGCTGGAAAATATTTGATGGTTAGACAATCCCTGAATTTATACTCCTTCTCTTTGATCATATGCTTGCTGACATCCATGGCACCCAGCTTGAAGCCTTTGCCACTCAGCTCATTGGCTGCCTGAATCCATTCGGCAGTCAAAGCCTTGCAATAAGGCGTATAGAATGCGACCAGCCAAATCTCATTGGAATTGAGCACCTGCTTGGCAAAATCATCAGTCTGTAGCTCAATCACATCACTCTCTGGCTCTTCTTCGGCAGCGACTTTTGCGGCGACGACATCTTCTTGCCCCTTGATGACCAGTTGCAACTTTCGTTGAATTTCGGCCACAACTGCCTTGGCTATTTGTTCAGCGTTTCGTGCTTCAAAATATTCGCTGGGCTGTGTTTTATTCACGCCAAATATTTTGATCATCGGAAAGCCGCGCACTTCATATGTGGAGCACAGCTCGTAATGCTGCTCGCCATCGACAGCGCCCACTTTGGCAACGCCCTTCAGCGCCTTGGCCAGCTTCTTGTACTCGGGCACCATTGCGTTACAATAGCTGCACCATGTTGCATAGAATTTCACGATCCAAATAGCATCGTCCTGCAGCACTTTGTGCTCAAAATTTGCCGTGGTTAGCTCGACAACATCATCGTTGGGGCCATATAAGTTAATGTGACCAGCTGCGAACACGATCATCATCAGAATACTGCCCACAATTACGATTCCCGACATTATTATGCACCACAAATATATAAACTCTTTCCAATCGTTTTTACTCATTGAATTTAAAGTGAATAGATTTCCCTCAGAAATTATTGTTGTAGTTTAAGCTCCTCAAAAATGTAAACTTTTTTGGATTTTGTGTTTACATTTATATTTAAAGTGCAAATGTTTACTTTATATGATTATGTTTGCTGTGATTGTTAGTTATATGAATCTCTGCTCTTTCTGTATTCCAAATGAAGTAAAAATAATTAAATTAATTTACATTTCGTGCAAAGTAAAAATAATTATTAATAACTTATTGTAGAAAGCAAGAATTTGTGTTAAGTGTAAAAACAAATAATTCTTTTCTGATCATGCTGAACATTTGCTCATTGCATTTTATATAAATACTATGTTTTAAAAATTAATTAAATATATTTTAATGATTTGGAAGAGGCTCGATTTTTCTGTGTACTTATTTTACAATCGTATTAAACAACTATAATACTATTTATAGAAACTAAAATCGATTTGCTCTGCCGACTATTCGACTAATCTCTTTATTAGTGCGTCCAATCTATTTTCTATTTTCACTGGTATTTTCAAAAGAAAACTCTCACAATAAACTGCCTTTTGAGCTGCCAACCTCCCCCTGCCTCACTCTCACTCTCTGCCGCTCTTCTTCTAGCACTTTAAACTTTGTTGACATTTTTCAATTTGCGGGAAGTTTCAAGCTAGAAACGTGAAAGTTTTTTCTTTGGTTTTTTTGATAACAGCTAAAATATATAAATAAGGAGAAGAAGAAAAAAACGTTGCCTAGAAGCTGAGAGAAGACAAAAAGAAAAAGCGTCAGGAAAAAGCGTCAATGAAACCTGCCCTAAATTCGCACAAGCGGCTTAAAATAACAACAACAAAATAACAAAGACGCAAGTAGCGAAAATATGAAATAAAAACAGGACACAAAGCGTGGCAAATAAGAAGGAAGAAGCAACCAAAAAATAAAACAACAACAACAGCAACAACATCAAGCATAAGTCGCACAGCGGGCGAGCACAAAAAAAAAATATCAGTTGAATAAGAAGAAGAAGCAGCAGCAGCAGCAGCAGCAGCAAAGGCAAAAAGGAAACGTCGACGCTGCGTTTTTCTTTTGGGGTCCTTGTTGCGTTTTGCGCTCGTACGCGCAGGACACGCGCCAAAGGAGATGGCGAGGCGCAGCACGCATAAATCTAATGCCAAATTACATTATTTTGTCATTTTGGGGCGATGCCACCCAACACCCAACCCCACCATGCCCCGGCTCAGCACTGCTGCCGCTGCAGTGTCCTGGCCGCAGGGCATAAAACACTGTCAAAAATAAACTTGCGCCAAAAACAAAAAAAAAACAAAAAAAAAACAACAACAGCAACACAAAAAAAAATGCAGAAAGCTCTTGGGGTAAAAGTTTTGTTTGCCTCACAGAACAAAAAAAAAAAAGAAGAGAAGAGAAGAGAAACGAAACGAAACGAAAAGTACATTATATGCAAGCATGCAAAGGGTCGGAGTGTGGGGCACGAGCCGGATAATGTGACGTGTATTTTGTGTGTATTTGGGTAGCGGAGGGGAGGGGGGGGGGGGGGGTTGACATTGGGTCTGGGGTTGTTTGTCAAGTTCGCGGCCAGCCGAAAGTGAAAGTAAATGCAAGCGCCGCCAAAACGAAGCTCACGCGTCGCAGTCGCTGTCCGCGTCGCTGTCGACGTCGTGCGTTTATACCAAATATCCTTCGGCACGTTGCTTGGCCAAGGACATTGCGGCCATTAAAATGCTGGCATTCACGCTTTTTCCAGCCGCTTTCTTGAGACGCGACTGCAGCAGCGACAATGCCACGCTCTCGCCAAAGCGCACTCCCTCTCTTTAGCTCTCTCTCTCTCTCCCTCTATGTTTCTCTCTCACTCTGTCTCTCTCTCTCTCTCTGTCGCTCTCTGTGCGTTTGCGCTGTGCGCACAACTTTCACTTTCTTTGCCTTGCCCTTTGCCTTGACAGCTTTTCACTTTCGCTTTTCAAACACCCTGAAAAAGTTCGACGACGTCGCAATTGTGTTTTCTCTCTCTCTCTCTGTGGCGTTCTCTCTGTCTCTGTGTGTGCCTCGTTCTGACGCACAGGCACACAGTTATGCTCACTCAGTCGCACGCACGCACTGCGACTTCCTGTCTGTGTGTGTGAGCTTCCGGTTTTGTTTTTACAACTGATAAGGCGTCAGCCAGGCGACGTTGGCCCCAAAAAGTATGCTATGCCCTTTTGCATTTGTATGTGTGTGCGTGTGCGTATATATGTGCATGTGTCTGTGTGTGTGTGTGTGTTTTTGTGTTTTGGGAAGACGACCAGCAGGCGCCCTTTATGGTTGCTGCTGCTGCTGCTGCTGTTGTTGTTGTTGTTGTTGTTGGTGTGCGTTGCAAGGATCAAGGACGTTCAAGTTAAATGAAATGGGCGACTGCTCGGCAACTCGGCAACTGGAGCCAACGCGAATACTAAAAGAAATGCAGGGCGTACATTTTCATTTACTTGGGCGGCTCGGCTCTTCTTCTTCGTCTTCCTTTCTTGTTGTGTTTTTTTTTTGTTTTTGTTGTTTTTTATTTTGGTGGTGGCTTGACTTTGACATGGGTTTTGTGGATGGGTGTTGTGGGGGGCCTTTTGCGTTGCTGGGTGGCTGCAGCTGCCTCGCAGTACATAACAGATGTGCGTGTGCGCCTCTATATATATATATATATCTATATACAATAAAGGTGGGATGTCGGCAGGGGGCAAGGGGGGACTCTGCTGCGGCTGCGGCTGCGGCTGCTGCTGCTGCTGCTGCAGTCCTTTATTGAGCCGACAACCACCCAGAATCCTCTTTGGCTTCAGCGGCAGAAGCCAGTCAAAATGAGCTACACAATAAACAATTTTGGTTTTAAACTGATTATCGACTAATAATAATAAATATTTTATTAGCATTTGGAATTGATTTATATTTATTTATAATAATAGAGAACAATTGAACTTACTCTTCCTCGTGTCGAAATTAAATAATGCATGGAAAAGCAATTAGGGTTCAGGCAATTAAAGCTTTGCTTGTCACTTCAAATTGATGTATTATTTTTGAACAATAAGAAAAAAAAAGTTCTCTTATTAAAATGTATTAAAAATTATATCATTATTATCATTAATTATATTAATTAAACATTTTTCTGTTATTTAAATTTCGAATTACATAGTAATTGTGTTGTTACTCCCAATTTTGTAAAGTGTATCGTAGAGGCGACCGACCGCTCGCTGCGTTTGTAATTTTGGCGCTTTTTGTGCGTGTGCAGCGAGCGTTGGAGAGAGAGTTGGTGGAAAGGGGGGTGAAGGGGCAGATAATGGGGACGCTTGGGAGCGGCATTGTGACTGACGTTGATTGCTGTTGTTGTTGTTGCTGCTGTTGTTGTTTTTTTTGGGGGGGAGGTGGGGTTGTGCGTGAGTATATAGCTTGGGTATATAGATGGAAGCTTAGCATATGTTGCTGTTGTTGTTGTTGTTGCTGCTGCTGCTGCTGCTTTTCTAAATTGCGTAGTTTTCGCAGTGCACAAGGCGAAATTTTCATTGCCTTTTGGCATTTTCCTGCTGCTTGCCTTTCGCTTTTTCCTTTTTCTTTTTTTTTTTGCCTTGGCTTACTTATGTGGGTCGCAGCGGGTCTCGGGTTTCCTCCTTCATGTGCGGTGCATAGCAATGCGAACAAATGCCTTTTTCAAAATATGTGAACAAGGTGTGTGTGTGTATGTGTGTGTGTGTGTGTGTGCGTTAGTTTAAAGTTAAGCAAATGGCAAAGTTGCTGGCATTTTCCTTGGAAAAGCAGCCGCTTTTGAGGTTTGCGTGAGTCGTCGTTAACTTCGTCGTCAGCTTCATCCTCTTCTACCAATAGCAAAGTGCGTGCCAAATGTCGTATGCGGTCTTCGAGCGGTTAGATTTCGTTTCCTTTACTGTTAATTGCCAACTTTAAGCTTTCAAAATGGGCTTCTATAAATATCAGTTGGTTGGCAAGGCAAGGAAGTGAAATTAATTTCAGCGATAATGTGCCTTCAAATGACAAGAACAAATTAAGTCCAACTTCAATGGAGCCTAATTACGAGAAAGATACAAAACCACATCTTTGGCTATACTTGGTGCTCAAAATAATCGATAAGAGTTCATACAAAAATCTATCATTAATTTTAATAGCTACAAATTTTTTATGTAAATACTTTTAACATATTAATCACATATTTTCCACATCTAAAAAAAGTTATTTATTTGTATAGGTTTAATTGAAACGCACTTGAAGAGTTAGAATTCTTGATTTATGTTATACTTTAAGTATTTTTGGGTTTTTGTGATGATATTTATGATTTCAGCTGCCATATGGAATGTATGGTTAAATAACCGATTTAAAGGCAGCTCCAAAATCAATCTTTACGGAGTTCAATTTGGACTTCAATGTAACATTGACGTGTAGGCGTAATATCTAATAATATCCAATTATACTTTTCTCTTCACGCTTCTAACTGGGCCTCCGCCTGCTCCCCGTGTTCCGCTCACTGAAATTCCCAATGCGTATTCATCATTTGCATGCAACGTCGCTCAATCGCTCAATTCTCAGCGCTGTGGCAGCTTTTATCCATTCAAAAATGTGCTCACTGACAGCAGCTGAACCCATCACAGCACCAACCACTCACACACCCAACCACCCACTCAGTCACCCACTCACTCAAGCCACCCCCGCCGTGCTCCGTTCGCTTTTCATCTTCACTATGCTGTCGCACAATCTCAAAAATGTCAATCAAAGCAAAATGTCAGCCTGCAAGCGGCTCAACTCCAACTCAAGTCTTACCTCTCTTTATATACCCCTCCTCCCTACTCCTCAACCATCTGCCCACGCTTAACTCATTTAAACGCAATTGTTTCACATTTGCCGTTACGATTTCCCAGGCTTTTTAGCCGAACAACAAAAACAATTAAAAGAAAAACATTCTGGATTAAATGTATTTGTAATTATGTATTAGCTAGCAAGCAAGCAGGCAAGTGAAAAAAAATCATATAAAAAATAATTTTTGCCTTTGAGCTTTGAGCTGATGTCGCCGTTAAAGTTGCTGCTGTTGTTATTGTTGCTGTTGTAATTGCTGTCATGCTGATAACACACACACCCACTCGCA